CTGGAACCTCCCACTACTTGCTGGATCTCCTGAGAGGTTTGCTTTTTTCCCTGATGGTTTTCATTTCCTTGGACTCTTTAGACTGCTTTCCACCTTCTCCTTCTAGCCAGTCTTTAAGAAAGGGTTGCTCTACCATTTTGATTTTGAAACTAGAGTACTGGGATGGTGGATACTGATTGTTCCAAAGGACCCCATATACTTGAAGGTGAAATTTGATTGGTCTGTATAAAAACAAAGTACAGGAGAAAAGGTCCCGTGGTGAGGTCAGCCCTTGAATTTTGGTGGTCAGCACTTGCAGCTCATTCTGGACCACAGAGCAGGCAACTTCTCCATGGTTTCCTCATTGGTTAATAGAGACTTACCACTCTGAGTCAACGCAAGTGACTCTGAGGAGAGAGGACATAATGGCAGGGTATGTATTTTGTTACCATATGTGTGCTTATTCATGCTGAACAATATTAGGAATCATGGTCGACATACTTTAGAGTTCTGGTGCGGAATGCTTGTAATCGCAAGAACTAGGTGTGGTCATGGCAAAGCATCCAGATGAGTGACTGAGAAGTGAAGGGTAGGGCCAGGGATCTTGGGGGTCCCTTCCCATATGTTAAATGATGAAAATAAAATCAAATCGCTTCATCATTGCAAAAGATCCCATGTGCTAAACAATTTCAGGAAATGAGGCAAAGGGGGCTAAAGGGCCATCTGCTTTCTGCTGGGAAATGGAAATGTTGGTCTTTTAAGAGCATTTGCAAAATCTTCTGTTTCAAAACCAAAGGAAAACATCTCCCCAAATAAAATGAAATAGTCACAGCCACAGCCAATTACTCCGGGATTGTTTTCCTTTCAATTTATGCTTGAATGCCCTGTGGACTCTGAAAGCCCTGAGCTGAGGTAAACTCTCAGCTTCCCTACCGTGAGAACTGGTATCAAACTCCTTGAATCGGAAGGTGTCCAGGCACCTTCTGAGCATCTCAGAGGAGTGAGTTTAGACAGAAGGGAAATGAATTTTCACCAGGGACAAAGATGAGATTTTTGCTTCTGGTTTTTCCTTCTGAGGTCTTTCTTGGGTTCTCCATTGGCTATCAAAGGCAGAACTCTGTGTTAAGTTTATAGCTTCACTCTTGGTGGTCCAGTCTACATTTCCAGTAGTTTCATCTGCCATAGATTACCAATCTCCCCTTCAATCCCAATATGACTCAAGGGCAGGAGTCAGCCAAAGAAACACTTCCCAATGTGTGTCCTACCCACCCAGCAATCCCCTTCCACCTTGTATCAGATAGTAATGTGAAATAAATGAACACCAATCAAACGAGAACAAGCAAAGGCTATTTACTCCCTATAGCAAGTGAGTCAGCCACCATCAATTGCATTTTGGCAGAGACTCAGGCAGAAATATTGAATTGGGAAAGCTTTATAGTGGAAAAAGGGAAAGTTTCAGGTGTGCCCTGATTGGGGGGTGTTGATATGGGGAAGCTGTAGGCGGGCTAACTAGAAGTAGGGTGTCCTGTATAATTGGATAGGGGTGAATATTTGGCTTTCTCTGGTTGGTCCTAAGTTGGAAGTAGGGACAAAAATTAGGAAAGCTGTCAGTGTTGATCAAGTCCTGGCCTTTGGGGCTGATCGTCACTGGGGTTATTGTTTGGCTTCCTGGACTGTCACCACAGGTTAAAACAGTCTGACTTCCTGTAAGTCCTGGTCTGATTATTGTAGATAAGGGGTTGGTTTCCTGGGGTGTTGCTACAGGTTGTGGATCAGAATTCTGTTTTTATATATAGTCTGGCCATGGCCCACTTGTTTATTCAGTCTCCCAGTAATGAAGGGTGACGAGGGAGGACAATGGGCTCAATGGCTTTGGGAAAGGTCTCCTGTAAAGAACAGGAGAAAGACGAGTTTGCATTCCCTCCACTTATTGCCTCTTGGCCACAGTTGGTCAGCAAACTGGCATAATTTAAAAGAAAATGGAAGAGATTAAATAATTGCTATTTCAGAGATTTTAAAGCATTTCATTGTTTGTCTAAGTGGAAACAAACATTCAAACTTTCCTTAAAAAGTGATAAAATTTGCTAAATTTATGAAAAGAGTAGGATTTGGGCTGAACTTGAAAGCATAAGGAAAGAAGTAGCTTTTCTGACCTGCAACTTTAATATACTGAATATAATTTTTTTAAAACCAAAGCAAATCTCTGGGTCTCTTTGGGGCAAAGACTGCCCTTGATGGCGCAAACTTCCACTTCCTGGGACCTCTGGGGAGTGGAACAGGCTGGGCTGGGGCGAGAGTAAGACTAGGTTTCCTGTACAGCCTTTTTGTACAGCGTGGGACTTTTTAACATGTTGCATTTCTCTTATAAACACATACTTCTTTTATAATCCTTAAAAAATTCTACTTAAAATTTCTCTGCCAAAAAATCCTGTTGATAGTGAGATAATGTGTAAGTAAACATCTGGCATGGTGCTGGTTAGGGGTCAGATAAATACTAATTACAGCAGTCCCCCCTTATCTGCAGGGGACATGTTCTAGGACCCTCAGTGGATGCCTGAAACCTCATAGTACAAACCCTACATATACTATATTTTTAGTACTGAACTGTACATATATTATGATTTTTTCCTATACATAATGCCTATGATAGTTTAACTTACAAATTAGGCAAAGTAAGAGATTAACAACTAATAATAAAGTAGAACAATTATAATATACTATAATAATAATTATGTGAATGTGGTCACTCTCTCAGCAAACTAGCATGAATTTCTTTTTCCTTCACAATTTCATGGATAGAAGATTCATTCTTACTGTAGATCTTAGCAACCTCAGCAAATGAGTTTTTTCTTTCTATATTGAGAACTTTCACCTTTTCACTTAAAGGAAACTTTTTTTAAATTAAAATGTATTGGGGTGACAATGGTAGTAAAATTACATAGGTTTCAAGTGTACAATTCTGTAATACATCATCTATATATCACATGGTGTGTTCACCACCCAGAGTCAGTTCTCCTTCCATCACTACATATTTAATCCTTTTTACTCTCATCTACCAGCCCCTCCCCCTTACCCTCTGGTAACCACTAGATTATTGTCTGTGTCTATTAGTTTTGTTTCATTTGTTTGTCTTGTGCCTTTGTTGCTTTCAGTTTTATATCCCACATATGAGTGAAGTCATATGGTTCTCGACTTTTTCTGTCTGGCTTATTTCAATTAGCATATAATCTCAATATCCATCCATGTTGTTGCAAATGGCACTATTTCTTCTTTTCCTATGGCAGAATAGTATTCCATTGTGTATACATACCACATCTTCTTTGTCCAATCATCTAAGGACACTGGTTGTTTCCATGTCATGGCCACTGTAAATAAAGCTGCAATGAACATCAGAGCACATATATCTTTAAGGATAAATGTTTTCAGATTTTTTGGGTATATACCCAGAGGGATTGCTGGGTTATATGGTAATTCTATTTTTAATTTTTTGAGGAACCTCCACACTGCCTTCCATAGCGGCTGCACTAATCTGCATTCCCACCAACAGTGTATGAGGGTTCCTTTTTCTCCACATCTTCTCCAACGCTTGTTATTGTTTATCTTGTTGATGAGAGCCATTCTAACTGGTGTGAGGTAATAACCTCATTGTGGTTTTTATTTGCATTTCTTTGATGATTAGTGATGTTGAGCATGTTTTCAGACGTCTACTTGACATCTGTATGTCCTCTTTGGAGAAATGTCTATTTCGGTCCTCTGCCCATTTTTTAATTGGATTGTTTGCTTTTTTGTTGTTGAGTTGTATGAGTTTTAAAGGAGGCACTTTAAGGCTTCTCTTTGGCACATGTGAATTGCCAGCATCACTACTCTCGTGTTTTGAGGCCATTGTAAAGTAAAATAAGGGTTAACCAAATACAGCACTGCAATACAGTGACAGATCTGATAACCAAGATGGCTACTAAGTGACTAATGACTAATGGGCAGGTGGCATCAACAGTGTGTAGATGGTGGATAAAGGGACGTCTCATGTCCCGGGCAGGACGAGAGTTCATCATGCTATTCAGAACAGTGCACAATTTAAATCTTATGAATTACTTCTGGAATTTTCATTTAATAGTTTTGGACTGCAGTTGACCACAGGTATTGAAATTGAAACCATAGAAAGTAAAAATGTGGATAAGGGAGAACTACTGCATTTAAGATCTCATCATTCCCCCTCCCAATGAGAAGGGGGTACTTGGCTTAAGAAATGAACTTCTAGTTGCCCCTTTGCTGGATTTACAATGCTTGAAGGGAAGAATAACATTATTAGTACTGGTCCCAAAAGCATTATTTAAGGATTAGAAAAGGCTTCTTCCTGTTGGTCCAATTATAGACTATATTTGAGTTATAGTTTGATGGAAGCCTAATGATATTTAAGCTGGTCAAAAAAAAATCAAAGGATGGAATGAGTTAAAATCTAGATTTATGTTGCCTGGGATTTTTAAAAAAAGGTGTTTTGGTTTTTGTTTTTTAAATAAAGAGTATCCTTTATATTCTATATTCTCCATAAGTTCCCCTTTGTGTACCCAGGGCCACTGCAAGTCCAAACACAGCCTTTCTGAGACTTAGAGACTTGCCCTCTCTGGGTGACACTGCCCGTGATCATGGTTTAGCAAGCAGAAGCCATCTTTATGCAATTAGAGAAGGGACCACTTCCCCCTACTGGATGCAGGTGGACACTGGCGCACCTGTCATGATCAGCAGAGGTGGGCTGGTTTTCAGGTCCCACCTGGCCTCCAGGCTTGGTGCCCTCTATAGGGCTTAATCCCAACAACTGTATGCAGCAGCCCTGGCTGAATCCCCACCCCCAACTTTATCCAGAAAAACCATGTTTCAAAGTAAGCTTAGGCTGTGCAAAAAAATAATTTTAGATATAATCTATATAACATTTGTTATCTGAGTTATATATAATTGGTAACTAGCAGGTATATATTTGCTCTTTCTTAAAAAGATTAAGAGAATTAAATAGAGTAGACCACGTATTGTTTTTTAAATGATTTTATTAAAATGCTTATAATTATAAAAGGATATTAAAATGCAAGGAATCACAAAACATTACAAATTTTACATGGTATGCCACAGTGTATAAAGAGCATTGTGAGTATTTCAGTTCTACTTTAGTTAGGCGGCTCATACATTTTAAATTTTCAAACATCTTAAAATATAATACAAACATGACAAAATGGTACAAGAAGTGTTTCAAGAACAGAGCACAATCTGCCCCCCTGCCATTGTGAATTAATGTTTTCTGAAATTCAAGATGCATATGCTATTAAAAGAGAAGACTTTGGTGACAGTTTATAATATGGCCTTTAGTTTACCAACCAAAAATGATAGCCTCCCCTTTCTACTGATGTAAGTAAAATATCTGAGGGACATTTAAAGGAAAATCCCCTGAGTGTTTTGGTCTAAAGCTTCAATTTATTAAAATTCACAGGCATTACAAAAGGATACAGAACAAAACCTTCTCTAGTGGTTAACACTGGGCAGGCTGAGGGACACATTTTCCCTTCACAGGTCCACTGCCACACCCATCAGTTTCCCAGGGGTGCTGCCTCTGAGCACATGAACAGATCCAGCCCAGGACTGCCGTGGACACAGCCCCACATTTTTCTTCGCCACCGACAAGTCAGCACCAGACTTACATTAACACTGTGGAAGTCACGGGTGACCCTAGGTCCCCACTACAACTTAGCTGTTTGGGGAATACTGGCAGTGTCATACATCATCACATCTGCTGCCTTTAAAAAGGTTGAGGTTTTTTTCCCTCATGTCACAGAAGCACATTTTAGACCATGAAGGCAATTTATGCAACATTATTTATGAAAACATAAATTCACAATTATTTTAAAGTTTTATATACAAGGAGATAAGGCAAAAACGTTTCCTTTTCTATGCTTCCATAAGCAATGAGTAATTGCCAAATCCAATACTAGGAGATAGTCATACAGGTCAGAGAGGTAATACGAGACGAAGTGACACCACTTCCAGGAGCAGTATCACAGGTGAGCAGGGAAAGGAACAGGGGCACCTCCAGGTAGGCTGTGTGAAATGAGAAACAGTTTCCTCCCTGGGAAGCAATTCATTTCTCACTTCCTGTGCAGTCAGACCTCATGTGGACTGATTGAAGCACTTTCTGATCACATCGTTAACATTGTCAAGAAAGACACTGAAACGTTTTCTCTGATCCATTGAGACAATTCAAAAGTCCAGATACTTCTTTGATGAATACAACATAAATACTGTTTGTTGTTTTTTTCCTTTTAGTAATCATGGCAGGCATTTAGAATTGTGACCTGGAGTTAGGCTACTCTATTTTAAGAAGCCTCTAAACACGTTTCCTTTCCTTTACTGCTGGGGTTCTGAGTGGCTTGGCTTCTATGGCACCTGGGCGGTTAGCAGCGTCCCAGTGGGTGGTGGCCCATCTAGCAAGAACCCAGTGCCAGATACCCTCTCCTGCACCCAGCAGTGCCCTGTTACCAGTCAAGGGTGAGGGGTGCGGGCCCTGTGTAGCACTTGGAAGGCAGTAAAGTGCTGTAAAGACTGCTGAGAGTGGAACAAATAGAGGGCAAGATATGCAGGGTGCAGGAGTTCAGCAGGGAGTTACCTCCAGCTGATGGCAGCATTTGTGACCAAATCATTTTCTTTTCTTACTCTAGAGCCTGGTTGGCCTAGGGTCACTGGGAGCTCAAATCAAATCCAGAGTCTCCTTTCTTGATTGGAGACAATCTGGGTCTTCTGTCTCTTCTCCTTCCCACAAATGCTCCCCTGATGCAAACATGCAATTACAAACAAGTTACTGGGCTGGGAATAGAATGAAGGGTGCAAGGAGCTAGCTACCTAGGGCAGAGGCTTAGGTATGCTGATCACTTTGCACATGCGAAATCCCTGCTGATAGGTGTTCCCCTACAGGAACATGGTGTGGCTCACAATTAGGGCACATGGTGTTCTCTCAACTATGCACACGCAGCTTCCGCATGTCACAATGGCTGTAGAGCGAGCCATTCTCCATGGTGTTTGTGATTTGTAATACTGTATGTATCTCCTGTAGCTAATAAATAAAGGGTAACTGGTGGGAAATTGATGGGCTTATCTCTTCCAGACCATTATGTTGATAGAAATGTAATTTTAATCACTTGATTTCATTTTTTTCAAGAAACTACACCTCGTTAGAAGAGGTAAATTAATTAACCTGATCAATAGGCGTTACCATTTTATTTGAATCTGTAACTTTCCCAGCTTTTGTAATCTCATTCCCTTGAGGGTTGCAAAGCAGTCAACATTGATTAGGCACAGAAAATTCTAGGACTGCTCCTGGAAGATACCAGGTGTCACTGTGCATTAGCACAAATACGCTTCAGAATCTTGCAAGTTTTATTCCAATCCATTAAGAGTATTTCTTTGAGATGGAGAGATAGGACAAAATTAAGAGTGAAACTATTTCCTGTTAACTGAGGTTTCCTTTTCTGTAGGGATGTGATAATACACCTAAATATCATGAATTCTTGACTCTGTTTGCCACCTAATACAGCATTCAAACTGAATTCTGAGTTAGCAATTTTTAATCATGCAAAAGGTAGCATGTCTTGTCTTTAATGATGACACTGTATGGGAACGATAACTCTGGAACAACCTGGCAAAGTGAAGAAATGAAACGCTACCTAAAAATAGAGGTCATGGGTTTGAGAACAGAAATGAAAGTAATCAGAGGGGAAAAAATAGTGCATTCTGCTTTAGAAGGGGTGTTTTTTAAGCACATTAAGAGACTTTTTCTGTGATACTGAAATTACAATTTATCAAAAAAGATAACATTTTAGGTTTTCCAGGTGATTAGTTTTATGCCCTTCTTGATCTAAGTTTTACATTTTCCAGTTCCTGCGTCGCTAGCTGAAACTGAAAAATAATCTACATGAAAATGGCAATAGTCAAAGACTCATATTTGCCAAAGTGACTGAACTTAAACATTCTCATTAGAGATTCATAATATTTTCTGACAGAGCTAAATTCTTTAAAGTGCTTCTCAGAACATAAAGCTCTTATTCTAATTTTGGTCGTAAATTGTTATCGACTGCTTCTACTATCTTCTCAGCTAAGAACCCCATATTTTTTGTCATATCTTTGAGGTGATTCTCATGAAGAAGCTTTTGGGTTAGGTATTTTTCTCTCTTGATCTTGCTCTTCGTGCTTTTCGATACGTCTGGAATTGCATATGAAATGAAAAATTTCACCGAGTAGATGATATGCTGAAGGAGAGAAGAAGAAAACAGTCAACCACAAAGATATAGAGGGGCACAGAATTCCTTTCATTTACTTTTGCTGGTCATTATGGCAGTGTATGAGTACAAAACGGTGGGCATCTGTCATGTCCATCCAGTCTCTCCTGCCATGATGTGGCTCTGCCAAGGAGCTACGTTTTGTTACTTTATATATTTCAAGAATATGATTTGATATGTAGAAAAGAATATACCTAATTTCTATAACACTCATCATGACACTAACAATGCTGTAGTTTCGTGTGTGTTCCTTCCTATCTCATTCCCGAGCCTCTTCCTCCAAGGTAAACACTCCATCTGTGCAAGTATATGTATATCATTTTCTTTTACTTTTGAAAAAAAACAGTTTAACAAAATATATATAAATCCCCAAATAACATATTGTTTCGTCTTCCTTGATGCTGCCTTTATAAAACTCATAATGTGATCTTGTATACAGTGGTTTGAAAGTTGCTTTTTCATTCAAAACTATTTTTTAAGATTATCAGTGTTATGGAGCATAACTGTAGTCCATTCATTTTCACTTTCGTATAGCATCCCACTGTTTGAATATACTATAATTTATTCTAGTTCTTGTATGAGAAACAATGATGCTGGCATGTTCTTGCACTGGGATTCTAAGCACATCGGTGAGAGTTTCTCAAGAGCGTTCCTAGGAGTGGAACTGCTGAGATGCTCTGTAACATGAACGTTCACTTTTATAAGATGGTACCAGCGTATTCTCCAAGGCATTTATACCAGCCTGCACTCCCCCCAGCAGTGAGGGGTGGTTTCAGCTGCTCTGCACCCTCACCAGCACTTGTTATCATCAGACTTTTTTCCCTTAACCAACTCAGTGACTATGAAAGGTACTTTCATGTTGGTCTTGCTTTGCATTTCTCTGATGACTAATGAGGTTGAACACCTTTTTATTCACTCAGTATTCAAAAATTCCTGACCTAGCAAAGGGATAGAGATAATATGCAATAAACATAATTTAAAACAAGTAAATTATACATGGTGTTCAAAAGGGATACAAGCTATGGAAAACAGTCAAGCAGAGTAAGAATGATTGTATTATGGCAGGAAGTGGATTTAAAATAGATTTTATATAGATTAGTCTGGATGTGCCTCATTGAGCAAAGACTTTAAAGGAGGTGAGGGAATTAGCCATGTAGGTTATCAGTAGGGAAGACGTTCTAGGCAAAGGGAATAGCCAGTGCAAAGTCGATATGGTGGAAGCCTGCAGGACGTGGTCCAGGAATGGCAAGGCTGGAGTGAAGTGAGCAAGGAGACAAGGGGCATCAGACAGGTAACGGAGTGTGGCCAGATTGTGTCCTTGTGTGCCATTGTAAGGACTGTGGCTTTTAATTTACTGAGTGAGACATGAAGACAACGAAGACAACAGAAAGCCTAGTTAGGAGACCATTGCCCTAATTTAGGCAAGAAATGATGGTGGCTGTGACCTGTGGGTAGCAACAGAGTTGGTAAAAAGTTGTCAGATCTGTGAAAAAGCCAACAGGACTGGATGTGGGGTAAGTGGGGAAGACAGAAAACAAGGAAGATTCTAAGAATTCTGGGTTGAGCAACTGGTGCGATGGAATTGCCATGATTGAGGGCAGGAAGGCTGACTGTAGGGCAGGGTAGGGAGAACATTAAAAGTGAATTTAAGCAAACACGGGAATTTGGGGCTGTATAGCTGAGATATCTGTTAGATATCCAAGCAGAAAAGCCAAGTAAGTAGTTGGGTTCATGAGCTGAGTTCAGAAGAGAGGTGTTTTAGAGATGGCCACTTGTGAGTCATTGGCATATAGATGGCATTTAAAGCCAACACACTGCATCAGGTCTTCAAGGCTGTGAGTAGAGAGCAAAGCAGACAGCCAAGGAACGAGTCCCAGGAGCATTCAGGAGAGAGGGAAGGGGCTGACAAAGAAACTAAGAGACTGCCTAGGGAGGTGAGGGAAAAGGCAAAAAAAAAAAAAAAGTGTTTCCATAGGAGGCAAGTGAGGAAGAATTTCAAGGAGAGTGTGATCAGCTGTGTCAAAGGCATCTGATAAGTAAGGTAATGTGAGGGTAGGAAATATTTTGAGATGAGAGAGAGATTAGAATATTTGAATGATGGAAATTACATAGTAAAGAGGCAAAAATTGATGTTGTAGGAAAGAGGGTTTCCCCCCCCCCATCTGTTTCTGAGGTAGGTAATATTTATAGATATGTGGATTTTCTGTTACACTACACTTGCATTTCTGTGATAAAAATCAATGTGGTATGATGTCATCTTTTAAAAATACATTGCTAGAGTCAGTCTGCACATTTTACAAAGATCTTTGCATCTATCTATCTAATGGATGAGATTAGCTTATAATTTTCCTTTCTCTATTCACATCTGGTTTTAGGATCTTAAAGGAGAGAATTTTCCTTTTGTGATCAATGGAGGAGTTTGTATAAGATTGAAATAATCTGTTCTGGAAAGTCTGTATCACTGTCCTACAGAACCAAGTGGACTGGTATTTTCATTACGGAAAGGTTTTTCAATTACTCAAAGTTTTGCTATAATTCTAGGTTTACAGTAACCTTCTTTAGCATTTTGAAGATATCAGACTAGTCTCTTCTGATTTCGATGTTGCTGTTAAAAAGTATTCTTTCTAATTGTAATTTTCTTTGTCAGTCATCTGTCTTTGGTTACTTTTAAAATCTTTGGTGTGTTGCATTTTCCTTATAATGTGAGTGTGGATTTGTTTATCTATTCTGCTTAGTTTTTTTGTGTGTTCTGGTCTGTGAACAGATGTCTCTCAATCTGGAAAAATTTTAGCCAATAACTCTGCAAATGTTACCTTTCCTCCATTTTTTTATTGTACCATTTTTTTTTTTGAAAGTTAGTCCTTCTCATTGTGTCTTCTGCTTAACTTCTTTTTCATATGTTCCATTTTCTTATCTCTCTATGATGTGCTAGGGGTAATTTTTTCAGACCTATTTGCCAATTCACTAATTCTCCCCAGATTTACCTAAACTTCTATTTAACCCATGTTAGTTTTTCATTTCAATAATTATATATTTTCATTTCTAAAAGTTCTATTTATTCTTCAAAATTGCCTTGTAATTTTTTATAGTTTCTTATTGTTTGCTCAGTTTTGTCATTTATTTATTTAAATATATATATATATATATTTTTAATTCAAGTTTATTGGGGTGACAATTGTTAGTAAAGTTATACAGGTTTCAGGTGTACAACTCTGTAATACATCATCTATGTATTTATCACATTGTGTGTTCATTTTTATAGACAGTTAATTTATATTCCTTATCTGATAATTCAAACTCTTGACATTATCGAGGGTCCAAATCAGTTGTTTTATTTTCTGGCTGAATCTCACTCATGAACGTCATTGTTGATCTTTGATTGTAAGCTCATGTTTGATTATATGTCTCAATATAATATTTCTCATATTTCCCAATCTGAGAAAAACCTGGGGTCTACATTGAGGACACTTCTCCAGAGAAGATACGCATTTCCTTCTGCTCTGGGACAAATGTAGCCCCTTTTGGGGTCCCTGGCTGAATCCAAGAGTCTCATGCTCAGCTTTTCCACGTCACTCCTGACCCAAGTCTTGGTCTCCCTGAGCTTGTAGATGGAGGCACTGGTAAGAGCGCTCCTGAACTTCAGGGGTGCTCACTACTCTGTTTTAGCCAATCACATACCACCCCACCCCCGCCCGCTTTATCCACTCTCCTCCCTTCTAGTAAACTCAAAAATGCAAAGGAAACTATGTTTGAAGTTGATTCTAAATGTTTTGTAGTGACATGGGCCCTCACAGTATCTAGTCCACCACGACACCAAAAGCAGAAGTTCTAAACACTTTGGCAACAATAGATTTGAATATAAACTAGAGACTCTTGCTGCTATAATAGATGCTGTACTTTAGGAATTCACTTGAAATGGTGAGCTAATGAGGCATTATTTTCTTCTTCTGTTAGTGTTTGGTAGCTATTAAAAAAAAAAAAAAAACTAGAAAAGTTACCAAAGGTAGCCTATAGCACTTCTTTCCTGCTAACAAATTCTGATTTTATTTGGAGGAAACCAAATATAGTCTCAGGCTTATCTGCTGCTAGGAGGAACCATGTGCTATCGTTCTAGCCAATGAGGTGAAGGTGGAAGTCTGCTCTGGCAAAGCATTTTCTTTCCTGACAGGAACAGATATGGCTAGCATTGTCCTTCTCCTCCTCCCTGCCTAGAACATAAACATGCTATCTGGAAGTGCAGCATTCACACTGCAACCATCAAGTGATACTCACTGAGAGGAAACCTAGAAACTCAGAGATATGGTCCTTCTATCAATGAGCTGGTATTGATTCAGGAGTAATCACCTACTTCCAGCGAACGTGATGTGAGAAAAATCAACCCTGATTTGTTTAAGCTGCTACAGATGGGTTTCCTGTTTCCTGCAGCTAAATGTAATCCTAACTCACCACACCAATCAAGAACCTTCTAAGGCTTTAGAAGTTGGTAGCAGTTATTCACTTAGTGTAAGAAGTAAAGCTGGCTAGCTCAATTTCAAATTTATAGCTGCCTTTAATCATTTTTCAAAGCTGGTTAATTTTAGGGACATAAAAAAATCTATTGTAAGAAGGCATATTAGGAAAATCAATAAAAATACTTAATAATATGACTAAAGCTATTATAGCAATAAAAGTTTCTCATGGGCAGAGATCCCATCTGATCCATCTTGAATAAGTCCCTTCTCAGCCTAACATGTAGCCCAGTGGCCCCTCCCAAAGGCACTCAGTTAATACTGAATTGAAAAGGACTGAATCCCCTTAGCACACAACATGCTTTTAACTTTTAAAGCAAATAAGCAACTTCATTTAATCAATGAGAGCTTTATGGGTACTCACAGGTCAAATGTGATGAATAAATATCCTAAAATAATTATTAGCAAGAGATAACAATGTATTGTGCATTTTAAATCAGAGTTAGCGACGCTTAAAGCTAATAAAGGGTCTGTAAATATACTGCCTTATTAACTGTTTCAAAGTACATACACGTCTCCTACCTCCATGACAATGATAAAAGCCAGCTTGGCTGCGATTACATGCCAGTAGTAGATGTTGTGTTTATACTCTTGTGGGTGTCCTGGAGGGTACCGGAAATCACGATACCTGGAAATAAAATGGAGGCAGATGAAGGAGATTATCCTTTTTGGTCATAGACTGTAAACAAGGGCCCATTTAGAAAGAGGTCATATTTAATACAATGCTCTTTTAAATTGGACATCATATAAATTTCTCCAAGCGTTTAATTTGGTAACAAAACCCTGAAATAAAATTCCAGCAATACTTCATTTAACATACACTAGGAACACAGTGGTAATGATAGATTCCATCTCTATAAAAAGAGAACAAAAGTACCTTAAAATTGTGGTAAGAGTTTTATCCATGCTTCCTCAAGTGTATAACTAAAACAATTTAGCATATTTTCAGAAACGTGCTTATAAATTTACTTATAAAATGGTGTCATCAGGGTTCACTCAGCTATGGGGCTATCTCTCCCTATAGAAAGCACTATATGGTTGTGATAATTTTCTTACTAATTTCCCTGTTGTCAGGTGTCTCGTGCTACTGCTGTTTAGTGTTTCTCCCTCAGGTAGTCTATCTCTAATTTTCTGCCTGTAACCTATTAGACCTAGGAGAGTTTAATTACTCTTTTGAATTATGTAAAGTAAAATAAAAGTAAGCAGATTCAATGTGGGACTCTGAAGAGGCTCTACTATGTGTAACTTTGAAACATTTACTTGGGGCTTATTTCTGGTTTCTTAGTTGTGCTGTTGAGAATTGGAATCAGAAGGCTTTGAGGAGTTAAACTAAATGAATTTTAAAGCCTCCTGTAGGTTTAAGACACTGATTGAACAAAAAACTCAATGAACGATATAGTCAACAAACTTCATCAATCAGTAATTTAGTTGATGTGCACTGTCCACAGTCGATTTTACCAGCCATTAAAATCAATGCAGAGAGCTTTGGAACACCGTCAGAGAACGCTGCTGGCTAGGCTGAGGTATTCACATTTCTTGTCTTTGCATTCCTTTAAGTGCGGCTGCTGGTTTGCCATCATTCAGTGTTGTTAGATTGTGCTTGAATAACACATTAGTCGTGACTGAATTACCTTGCTTTTTGGAGCTCTCAGTTTTTTCATTTCTTAGATACAAGACTTTCCTCCTGGATCAGTCTCATTCTAATCATTTGAAACTCTCCTCTTTAAACCTTGCTTTATGGTTTGGCTCAAAAGCTCTAACCCTAGTGTGTACTGACTTTTATATCTTACCCTGTTTTAAATTGGATTGAAAAGAAAGCTAGGAAAAGAAGTCTCTAGCAATTTAGTTGAATGGTATCATATAGAATTACACTTAATTACATTAATACTACATACAATGAAAGGACTTTTACATGATAATAAAAGTCCTTTAAAAGGTAAAGTGCATTTTTAAACACACAGCAGAACTTGCCTGCATGTGGTGTGGTTCCCAAGCCCAGTGTATGGGTTTCCCTTGCTTCTGTTTTTGTAGTCTGCGATGTTGAAGAAGGAGAGGCTGTTGTTGATGTATCCCTCCATGGTGTAGTGGGGGTGGTCCCCATAGGGAGGGACGGAGAAGGACCAGTAATACACCAGGCGAGGGATCATGTCTGATGTGAAAGCAATGATCATGGCCTGTGTTGGGAGGAAAACAAGAAACGGGGCGTTCATCTGGGGCCTTTACAGCGTTGGTTATCGAACAGGCCAGAATTACATTTTCATCAATTAATTTTAAAAACAAATTAAACATTCAGAAACCTTAATTGTTTCCTAGCTAAATCTATAACAAATGGAGACAGACAGTGAATATCCTAAAATCTTTGAACAGCTGCTTTCCTTTTGGTCCTCAATTCTAAGAAATGTCCAGTTCAAAAGCAAAGGCCTGATAGTTGCCTGTTATGTTTCTTAAGTACAGTAAGAATAATTGTAGACTCTGGTATTGTGAATAACTCGAGAGTTGCCTGCGTATAATATATGTAAATTATAATTTTAAAAACTAGAATGTAACAAAATTCAATCGACCTTGGAGTGCTACTCAATATAATTTAAATCTTTTATGATTTAGATGTAGAAGGCCCTTTTGTGTATGTACTATTAAGGTCAGTGTTCTGAAAATAACTGGGCTTTATATAATTCCTTTGTAGAGTAAATAATACAAAATTGCTTTTTTTATCACTTGCCTCTTAAAAATAGAAGGTAAACTGCATAAAGTATGATTTCCTTGATCTGAACTAATAATGGCCTTTATATTCATATTTTTTTCCCCCTATAGTATCTTGCCTTGTTTAGACAAGTCAACCCAGAATCTGGTTTATTTTAAACACTCAGTATATACTTATGTACGTTGCTTCATTAGAGAGCAATCATTTTTAAATTAATTTTAATAAAACGTTGGTAGAAAAGAAACTATATTGGGTTGCTCCATTCACACAGTCAAGCAATGATGTCTGGTTTGTTAGATCTAGTGTCTCAGCCTCTAAACTCCCAAAAGATTTAATGGATAGAGTTATGAACATTATGAATTATCAAATAATAAAGTTTCATGTGTTCCCAGATTAAAGGAATAAATATGGGTCAAACTTAAACGTGGGTCTGTGTCAGGCAGCCATCTATTAGAATGTAAAGCTATTATGAGTTCCATGAATTTTCTCTAAAACTCTTTAATTTGGCCTTCAAGCTCTCTCCAATGTGCAAAACTGGTTTAAAGGAAGGAGAAAGAACAAAAATATATTTTAATCCAAATTCTATGTGAATAAACAAAGCTAAATGATTCGGTCATTTACTGAAGCAGAAGAACAGACATGTGTTTGGCCCACAACATGCTTCTGAATAGTATTTATCTGAACATATGGTTTAGACACAATGAGACCACAAGCCAACAAACAAGATCTCAGGCAAAGCAAGAAAAACAACTAAGGGGCTTTTCTATTGCAAAATTTCCCCCCATTGCCAGCTTTTGCATTTCCTCTGAAGTGAAATATGTGTGTGTACGTGTGTGTGTGTGTGTGTGTGTGTGTGTGTGTGTCTGCCTGCCTGCCCGTGGTGGTGGTGTAAGACAAGAATATTTTACTTTTTTCCAGATTTCAATAGATTAAAAATTTTATCATTTAACTGAACTACAGCTTTTTATAGAATCACCTGCAGATGTGCTTTAGGAAGCTACAAAAATTCCAACAAGGAAGATAATTCTATTATCTTCTGACAGGATACTTTTTCCTCCTGAACTGAGCTGCTCTGAGACACGCTGCAAGAGTACAAATAAATGCCGTGTGCTTCATTTCCCATGCCGTTCCAAACACAATTTTCCATTTATATCAAAATAAATTAAAATTGGTCTTCAATAGCAGATGCTCTGGCATGATACGACAATGTCAATTCAGCTTATTTATTGAGCCAGCAGCTTTAAAATGACTGATTTGATACCAAACTCTTGCTTGATGTCCATTCTCATCCGCAGTGGCTGTTTTCTCTTTCCTACCATTAGAAGTTCTCCCATTATGGAAAGTTAGCCTTCCTTCCTCCGCACATTAGACTAGGGAGGCACACCTCAGGTACATGGGGGGATAATATACATGTTTAATTCTTATAGATACATACAGAACCTGCATCTTGAAAGCTGTAACAAAGTCTAGTAATATGGTAAAAAGAAATGTCCATAGTTTAATCAATGATCTAATAAGCAGTTTCCCTGGGAGTATAAAATGCCTAAATTACAAGAAAAAAAGTACTTGGGTAAGAACCAGCAGCACCAATGAGCGGGTGTGTGGGGGTATGTGTGTGTGTGTGAGCACGCGCCTGTGTGTGCACACACATACACATAGAGTAGCCCTGGAAATACTGCCAAGACTCCATCTGTGCTAATGTGGGGGGAGCCAGGCTGGGATACTAGGAGAAGGTGCCTAATACGATCAAAGCAGAATGCTTGAGGAATGGGGAGTATGAGTCAATTGAATTTTCTGGTTAGCTGAAGGTCAAAGAAAAACCCTTTTAGTTTCAAACCTTGTTGCTGAAATTTTTCCTAAAGCACATAAGTCCACGTTTCTGCCTTACTTAGTGTGATACAGCATATTGAACATGACAGATTCATTCTTTTATGACTGTGGAACTGGAAAGGCCTTACTGTCATACTTCTGAACATCAGTCTTCATTTCGCAGCACAGTGGATATGGAAGGTGTGGGCTGTTTGGGTGAATGGAAACTGATATAACCTAGCAGTTGTTTTTGTGTGTGATTTGCAACTTTCTCCAAAAAGGAGGAATAGCATGCAATTCAGATAAATTGAGGGTTCTTGAGGGTAACACCTGGGTTCCAGATAACTTGTTTTATTGTGTAAAACTGTAACCATGGTCCAGACAGAGACACACCGTACAATTCTTGTGCCTCTAGTTTAGACACCTGTCAAAGTCTCAGGGTCACTGTTAATGATGAGTAATGAAGATGATAAAATACCAGCCAACATTCCGCAAGGCACAAGCTCTGTGCATTCCATGCGTTAACTTACTGAATTCTCTAAGCACCCTTTGTGGTATATAATATTCTTAAAATATGTGCCAGGGAATTGTCCCACTTACGAATGATAAACTGAAGCTCTGAAATGTAATGCCTGGCCCGAGGTCATGCAGCTGGGAAGCCTGACTCACAGGCACTGCAGAATTCTGTTCTGTGTCTACAGGTGCTTGTGGGAAAGGCTGGGAACTCTGGGCGAGTGTGGCTTGGTTGAGAAATTAAAACTGAGACATCCTTTTGTTGGGGACTGTGAACTGGGAGTGAAACTGGCAGTGAAATGAGAGAGGAACTAGCCCTGGGTAAGAGTATTTTAGGGGGACGCAGGTCCA